GACAAAAAGTGCCAAAAAACAGAAGAAAAGCAAAGGAAAAACAAAGGAACAGTCGAGGAACGGTCGAGGAACAGTCGAGGAACAGTCGAGGAAAAGTCGAGGAACAGTCGAGGCGCCACTTTTCCGCTACTGTTCCTCTACTTTTCCTTTGCTTGTCCTCTGCTTTTGTGCACTTCTTGTCAAGTGTCCGTTGTGTTTTGTATATTTTGTTGATTTTCGGTTGATTTTTCATGTTTTTTGTTGATTCTGTGCGTTTTTCATGTTTTTTGTTGGTTTTGATTGTTCTTTACATGTTTTTTGTTGTTTTTCATTGTTTTCGATGGATTTTCATTGATTTTCATCCGTTTTGATAGTTTTCGATTGATTTTTCATGTTTTTCATTGATTTTGATCCATTTTTGTTCTTTTTGATAGGTTTTGATTGTTTTGAACATGACAGAGGTAGGTGTGGCTGGGACAGAGTGTGGAGGGCGCTGATTCGAACCAATTCCTATCTCCTCCGATTCTGCCAGCATGAGCGGGGCCAAAACCTTGCCCGGAGTGAAGGTACTATGGTGGCTTGTCCTGCTGGCTTTCTTCTTTGTTTTCCTTCACCTCTTCCTCCCTATTCTTTGCGCCCTTAACAGCGTCTTCCTTTTTGTTCTCTGCCTCCCTGTTCTTTGCGCCCTCAACAGCTTCTTCCTTTTTGTTCTCTGCCTGCAGGTTTGAGGGGGCTGGTGCAGGGCTCTGTGGTGCAGGGGCTGGAGATTGTACTCTTCTGGCTCTTCCACCTCCTGTGCTTTTGCTTTTGCACCAGCTGTGTTGTCACTGGATGAGGACTCCTCATCCAATGATTTGTTTTTATGCTGTTTTTCAAGCCTAAGCTCACAATCATACGTTCTTTTGTGATTCTGTTGATGAAGGCCTGGTCTCAGGCCTCCAAGAGGTGGCAGCCTGGCTGCTAGCATCCAAGCCTGGGACTTGCACCACCACTGCTCCCATATTTCATGGGTCCTTGGTCTATTTCCAACTCTGCCCGCCTTTCTTCTTTCTCTGGCAGGCCTTCCTCTGGCATGTTGCCCCTTTTCCTTCGCCTTTCCATTGCCTTTTCCTTTTCCTTCCCCCTTGCCCATAGCAAAGGTGTCATAGCTCTCTTCACCATCATATTCATAGTCATCTTCTGTTTCTGGGCGCCAGCTCCTTGGGTTCCTCCTGTCTTCCCTCTCCCAGTCTTCAAATCTCCTCCTATCATCTTCATACCTCCTCCTCTTTTGTGAGTACCACCTTTCATCTTCATGTTGACCAAACTCCTCAAACTCAGTGGGCTTGACTTCCATGGGTGAAAGGGCTATATTTCAAGCCTGTAGTTGTATAGGTTGCTGGAGCTGTGTACAAAAGCTTAAAAGCTAGAGCTTATATATATAATGCATATGAAACTCATGCCTGAGTGAGACTAGATTTCACCAGATTAGAGGCGTTTTTAATCCAGATTAGTTTCTGCAGTATTAAGTTAACCAAAAAGAACCCATCCAGATTAGAGATTTTGTTAATCTGGATTGCTTTGGCCAGATTGGTTTTTACAATCCAGAAAACCAATCTCTAAAAAATAAAACCAGATTACTCTGGATTGTTTTTTCAAGCTGGGATCCTCAGGGATGGCTTCTGTGAACTACTCCTATGAATCCGCCATCCAAAAGAATATCACAGCCTATAGCACACTGAAAAAATGACTCACTCAAATTCACACTCGCCGCAAGATATATCGAGGCGGGCTGCTGATCTTATAAGCTGAAGGCTCCTGACTCCTGCCTTCAAGCCAAGCTCTTCGCTCAGCTTCTGAGGTATCAGAAGAGGGCCCCAGGCCAACAAGCCACATCCAGCGTCCTATGGCCAGTTGGAAGGCGGTTGGCTTGGTTTGGTTCGGTTTGGAAGCGTGTGTCATTCCTTTGGCCTTGTCTCGTACCTTGGAATCATGCACCATTCCTGCGTGACTCTCCTCCTGGTCTGGTCCACGTTTTGGATCTACTTGTTTGATTTGGGCGGCTTTTTCACCCAGCCTTCTTCGGGGCATGTGGCGTTCCGACCCTGCGTATACGAGGGCATTTCTCCATTTTCGATCGCGGAGTGAGCCCGAAGTAGTGCCCTCCGTGGCGCAGCTGGGTGTGAAGTTGTTGCGCGTACGCAATATAAGGAGAAGGAGTCCATAGCGGAGAGCAGCGGCCATCGATTGCACAAATGCGAGGTTAAGACTTACTGGAGCAGGCGTTTGAGCCAGAAGGAGGCCGAGCCCCACATACTAATTATTCATGTCTCTTTCATGTATCTTCAAGTCTCTCCCTCATCGAATTCCTGCGATCTCTGCTTCTGGCAGCCTTCAACGACTTGTTCTCATGGAATGTTGACTGGTATGATGGTCCACAGGTAATTGAGCTTCATTCATGAAATAGCCATTGAGAAGAGGTGACACAGCTGATTCTAGAGTCACTGTCCGCTTGGGCGCTTTGGCCTCCAGGAGAGGGACCAGTCCACACCCTTCAAGACCTTCTTGCACACATCAAAGGTTTATATTTACCGCTGAATCGCCTTCTTCCAAGAAAGGTAGTGTGTCACTTGCCCGTTGCCACTGGCCTTGAACCCAGCGCCCATGGATCTGAGGCCGGTCCAAGCCCCGCGACTGAAGAGCCAGCAGCCGCTCCCATCATAGAGTGAAGTCTGGTCTGCACGCGGCTGTTGCCCTCCGAGCGGCGGTTCGAGTCAACCAGTATGACTGCGACCCTCCCCACCATCCCCATGACCACTGATTCCACTCTCTCCATTCTTACTCTCTCGTTGGCGGCATCGTAGCCGCAGAAGAAGTATTCGGCCTGCTGCTGCTCATTCCTCAACCGAAGGGGCTGTCCTGGCATCGTCTGGTCCATGGCTTGTGAGCAACCGGTGCCCTGCTACCACTGACACGGTTGCCAGTGGTAGAGAACACTCACATTTCCCTCTTCGGGATCATGTTGAGACAGCTAGTGGGGTCGCCGGAGCTTGAGTGAGTGAAAGACAACATGCAAAGCTTGGTCAAAGATCAAGAGGTGGGAAAATATGAAGCATACCTACTGGCCCGGTGCAGTTTTGGAACCGTGTGCCATTCCATCTGGTCTGGTACAGTCTGGAACCACCTGCCATTCCTTTGGTCTGGTAGCTGTAATTTTGGAACCATGTACCATTCCTACAGGTCTGGTAGTTTGCTGTGTGTGTGTTCCGAACAAGGCTACGGCTTACCAAATCTTGCCAGGCTGCGGGTGTATTTCCGAGTGATGCATTGCTCCTCATAGTCCTGGTAGTAGACTTTGCGCTTGTATGTCTGCTTCCTCGGGGCCACATTCTTGTGCTGAGCCCTCTGTCGAGCCAGTTCAGCTCTCCTCCTCTTCTCTCTTCTCTGGCGCTGTTGACGCTGTCTTCTCTGCCGCGCCCTTTGTTGATTTCTTTGTACTGTTCCTGGGCAACCAGGGTTGGGGTCCGGGAATTGCATAAACAAGAGAATCTGCTTCTGCCCACTGCCAACAGTTTCCTGTCGCCAGGGCCAGGGGAGAATCAGGGTTTGATGTGGCATACGTGGGTCACATCAACTGCTTTCAAGTGAATTGAAAAATATCAGAGGCAAACGCGGCCAAGCGTCTCTGGGCGTGACGGGGGAACTCTAGAAGTGAGGCCTCAACCTGCTCCCACCGGGAAGCAATATAAGGAACTTTCTTCTTGTTCACGCACTCCCATGTCCATTGCGACATGCTCTCCCAATCAAAGGTCATGGCCTCAGGCCCTGCAGGCACTTCAGGGTCCACACTCTGGACACGATAAGGCACCTTACCAAGGCGATACTCAGGACTGGCCCAGCTGATTTCGCCGGTCTTCAAATCACCTGAATCAGCTGATTTGTGGACAGAGATGGACTCTCTGTAGATACCATTCATTTCCACTGGCCCTGCCATTAAGCGGGATGAGGCTGGCAGCGGCAGGCAGCGTTCAGCCTCCTCCAAGTCTGCCTCGTGACAGCAGCACTCTTGGGCGACATGGGATCGGAGCGTGCCTCGGTCCGTCGGTCCGTGAGCAAATGGTAGAAGGGATGGTGGGAGTAAGCAAATGGTAGAAGGGATGGAGCAATGTTCCGCTTCCTGAATGTTTGGGGAAAGTATTCACGCAAAAATCTAAATCTCCAAGTGAGATGCACTCAGCTTTGTCCTCGAGCACCTCTTTGAGCCCTCTTCTGCTCATGCAGTATAACTCGGACTCAGGACCTCCATAGATCTCCTGGCGATTGGCCGTCACGAACTCCCGGGCAGCAGCGGCACTAACCACAGTTCCGTTGTAGTCCAGGCTGTCGGCGATGTCCTCCACACAACACTAAATGCTACTGCTAGGCTATACTCTATATATATAGTTTATATATATATATGGAAATAGTGTATGTGTATACCTATAGTCTACAATATATATATATATACACATGCTCTTTAAGATCTACTATAAGTATGGTATTAAGTTCAGAAAGGAATGGCCTGAGGTAATCCGTTCTTTCATTATCTTTGGACCTTATCTGTATAACTTTATATAGACCTTTTCGGTCCTGTTTCCAGCAGTATGTCTAGTCTTCCTGAATATATAAAATCTTTCATGATCTTCATTTTTCAGCAAATGACCTGGGCTAGCTCTTGCCACAAAAATGAAAGCTGTCCTCCAAGTGAAAGCTGAGTCGGTCGAGGGTGAACTCCCTCGATTTTATGACCCTCGTCTCTTCGTCCTGTGCCGCAGGCCCCGCAGGCCCCGTAGGCTGCATAAACGACTCCCCCACCAAGAACATCCAAGAACAATCATTACAAAGCTATAAGAAATTATGAGAATTAAAACAGTCTATATAAGCCAAACCTGCAGACAAGCGGCGTAATCGATGTATTGTCCAGCACGCCTCAAGACTTGGCGCAGGCGAAGCCCAATGGCCTCCTCGCCCGGAAAGTGCACGCGACAGCAAACATCATCAGGTACTGGCCGGACATCGTGCGTGCAAAGGTCAATGTCTTGACCTCCGCTGGGATGAAATGAAGAACGTCAAGCGCAGTGCCAACACAACAAAATGAACTGGAAAAGGGTCAAAAGGGTCTGGCTTACAACTCAGCAACGCTTGTACTTGAAGCCCTTGATATCAAAGATTGAAGTATATGAGAGCTTGCAGCACATGTGCGGCTTCTTGTCTCCAGAGACCTTGTCGGCATGGAAGAAGCGGTAGTAGCTCGGCACCGTCTCGTCAACAGCGGCGTCAGGGAGCTGCTTGTGCTCGGGGCAGTCCGACAAGGACTCGACCTGCGAGATGAGACTATGTCTCTCCAACATGGGGTCTTTCACATGACTGATTTTGTGGAGATGCTTAGCCAACCACCATCCCAAAGAATCTACAGCAAGCAGGGTTAAGCAGCGGGGTAGTTTTGCACTTGTCAACCTGTCTTAAGTCTCCGACCAAACCGAGAGATCAACTTGAAACGGTCCTCAACGTGCGCTACTAGGAGCAAGGACGCTACTAGGGGCTGCTGGCATCGCTAGTTAGTAGGAGCAGGAAGCTACCAGGAACAAAGGGCATTACTACTAGGAGCATTCTTATTACTAGAAGCATTCTTATTAACTACTAGGAGCATTCTTGCTACTAGGAACAAAGGGCATCGCTACTAGGAGCAAGGACGCGACCGAAAACATCTTGCTGAACTTCTGAACACATCCAAAAAGGGTGGCACGATTATCGCTCTTGACGGGGGCCCATCGCTTTTGCAGGTTTCAACTAACTTTTTGACCGAATTCCTGAAATCCACGACAGCTCTTTACTAAATTGATCATAGCGCGTTTTGGCGGTTGCTCGTATATTCATCGGTTGATGGACGGCTTGTTCCGTCGCCTGCTTGCAGTAGCAGCCGAGGTCCCTAAAGAGAAACTCCTTCATGGCACCATCCGCCTCGTGGTACCAAAACGTGTCTCCTCGCGTGAGAAATAGTGAGAACGAATCCAACCAAGCCCATAGAAGAAGGTAGGTCTAATCTCAGAAGGCAGGAACTGCAGGACTGTAGTGAAGAATGTCAAGAGGTCTCCATTGCCTATCTCGAAAGCTAGATATCTATCCATCTGAAAGAATACTTGGATTTCATCTCAAAGTCATGCCCTATCCTTTGGGGGGATTCACTGGATTCACTGCTCAAACTAAAAGATTTTGCGTCGGTTTGGAACAGCGAACTCTTTCGGGTTCAGATCCTCTCACCAAGAAGTTCTCGGACTGGACGACACGGGATGCAAGGCACTGAAGGCTCAGCAAAGCGCTCAGTAGGAATAGGGAGACGAAGCGCCCACGCAGCATGGTGCGACTCGTTGGGATTTACAAATTTTAACAAGCGACAATTCTTCAAAGGTCAACCGAGGTCAACTCTTGAGCCAGCTTTTGCATGCCGTGAACCCCATGAAGCATGCGGCAACTAAAGGGCAGAACATTCGCATCTTCTAGTTTACCTTTTAGACCAGCAAGTGTCAGTGGGGTCTGTCCAGCAGGACAATTCAACATTCTGCACTTGTACTCATAATCCAAAAAAGTACAATGGAGTTGGCATATTTACAATCTTCAATCGCCAACAGCGGGCGCATGCGGGTGTTCAACTGCAGTGCTGCACAATGCAGTCGTTTTGTTCTGGATTTACACGCTGAAAGTTGATCCAAGAGGAATCCTGAGCTTGGATCATTCTGAGCAATTAGCGAAGACTTGTGGCATCTTGTGACCTGAACAAAAAAAGACTCGTCAGATTTGCACAGCTTTTGGACTCCGACGACATCGGCTCCAATCTGTCCAGACCTGTCATGTCGCCAGGTGGTCAGCTCCACCCTCACTCAAGCGATGCGGAGCGCGCCTGGCGAAGCTTTGCCCTTTTTGCCGGCTTTGCCACCTGGACTGCAAGTCATTTGAACTGAAGTCATGTCTGGAAAGCCCATGGATCTGGTCATTCTGGCAAAGCTCCCTTAAAGCTTGACTCGCATCAGCAATTACAAAAAGAATGTGCTTTTTGGTTTGCTCGCTTGCTTGCTGTTGTTTGTTTGTCTGTTTGTTTGCTTTTTCATTTATTTCTTTTATTTATTGCGTATCTTTCGTCTTTCGTGTAGTTTTTTTGCTTTTCATGTCTTTTCTCTATATTCTTCCTTCCTTCCTTCCTTCCCTCCCTCCCTTCTTTCTTTCTTTCCTTCGTTCTTTCTATCGTTTTCTTTAGGCCTGTAGACTGTAGACCTGTCCTTTTCCTCCCTCCTGTATCAACAGTTGATATGGGTTCCGAAAGGTTTCAAACTGAGAAAGACTCTTGCGGCGAGGCACGTCCACTTTGTCCTCGACGGCCGTCACCCTGGCACAAAGGCCACAGAGTCAGAACCCTTCAATCTCGAACATATGTGAAGAAGGGCGTTTGGACCGAAACAACGATTGGTGACACACATATATAATATAATATATATATATATTATATATATATATACATTATATATCCAAGAAATACGGGCTGACGTATTCGCGGGAGATGCGAGGACCAACGGGTAAACACTATACTGCACATAACATTGAAAGGAGTCAAAAAGAAGAGGGCTCGTAGCTGTGCGAAACACTGAAACGCCTTGTGTGAACAAAGAAAGAACTTGAACAATGCTGGGACAAAGCAAAGTCGGCTCAGTGACACCAACAAAAAAATGTGACAATTTCACTTTCTTCCCTGTAGAGTAGGAATATCCCAACAGCATAATGTTGGGAGAAGAGCCCAGGAGGAAGTGCTCGCGGACGCATTGTGTGCTGTGCTTGAAATCCCGAAAACATCCGAAAATCATGGTTTTACCCAGCCTGGCCCTTTCCGCCTAATATCACATCGGCACAAAACACGTTGAAGAGCCAAACACCAAGCTGAGAGATTGACTGTTTCTGGCTCTGTTTGCCACCTCGATTGGCGAGGGAGAAAACGTGACCAATGCGCAAACAAGCGCTCGCTCTCTCTCTCTCTCTCTGTCTCTCAAGCACTTTTGTGCACTTCACCTGCAGTGACGCTAAGCCAACTGCAAGTAACTGTGACTCCAAAACTCCGGCAACTCCGAGCGACTGACCCTCTCACGGATAAAGTCCATGATCATCGCTTCAGCTCGATCCACATTTTCTTTTGCTCCAGACAGGAAGATCACCCTGAGTGCCCAAGATGCTCACAAATTCCCCAAGCATATTGTTTCTTGTTCCAGAAGCGCCTTTCTTGTGCGGTGTCAATTTGATCTTTGGACACCTGCGAACATCACTCCAATTCCCAAGACCGGTTTCACATCACAAAGCTGCTTCCAGTCCCAAAGGTCTGAGCCACTCGCACCTCTATTCTTGCACCACTCTCAGTGCAGAAGCGCTTAATGGTCTCCCCACCACGGCCTCCAGAACCAGAGGCTGAAACACGACGAAGACACACTCACAAGGCTCGTGCCAATGATCGCTCCAATGAGGGAAGAAGGTACCTACATGGTTTTCCGGCATCTCAGACATTGAGAAGATTTGCAGTGCAGTTCGCACACTCAGCATCTTGTTGACATCGTCAGGCTTTGGACCTGAGACAGCGCTGTTCCAAGAGCAGTTTAAGTCTAAATTACCCAAGACGCAAAATGCAACTTGCTGGCCTCCTTTACCATCCTTTCCGCGCCCTTTCCTGGAAATCAATCAGCGGCTTCACTTCAAGCAACACAAGTAGGTCACTAGGTCAGCATTCGACAGGCCCGCCTTCCAAGAGCCGCCTCTTGTGTTGCCAGCACACCTAAGCTGGATCAGGCGAATAGAAATCCAGGCGTCTTGGTCATCTGCATCTAGATGGGTTAGCCTCTAAAATAACACACAAATGGAAGATTCCATGAATGCACGGTCTGCTCACGGCCAAGCTCACTACGCTGCAAACCCTGAACTGGCCCCTCGTCCACGTGTTTGGCGCTTGACAATTCAGGTATTGCTCGCTTGTGGAGCCAGCTTCCAAACCAAGATTCGTCGCTTGACGTGATCGCTTGGCCGGGACCAAA